TTCTTTCCCCTCGCCATCTCCCTTCTTAACAGTTGACCTGTCACACTGCTCCCACTGCCAGACTGCAGCTGCACCTTATGTACATTTTGTAGTATTCATTCCACCTCACCTCAGAAAGTACGCAGCCTCAACGATCCACAAGGGCCGCGTACTCAAAGACCGCTAGGGCCGGAAGTGCGAGGCTTGTGAAATGGGACGGTCTAGCCTCCGTCGCGCTGCCCAGGTTGCCTAGCAACCACGATACTAACAGTTGGACACGTGTCATACAGCTTTGTTTGACAGAAATGAAGGAGAAAATCTTTTGTTCATTTGTTTGTTTGTTTCTACATTAGCTTCAATCATTCTCTGATTAAGGTCAGCTATTGAACGGCGTATATTTTAAAGTAAAGGCCTTAAAAACAAGTTAGTACAAACGTCACTAATGTCACATAACTTTGCCGACATGTGGCCAACAGTAATGTTTAATGTTCTTCATTATTAAACATTTGCACATAAATAAGCGACATAATATTCAGTACTTCAGTACTTAGTTTACTAAGTTACTCTTCAGGCGCCCCTCATCCGCCGTTTTTTTTCCTGCAAAATTATCCACACGACCACCGTGCTATGCATTCTGGGATATGTTGGGCCACGAAGTCTACACCGCCACATCCTTAAAATTCAGGGAAATGAAGGACGCATTTGAGGGCCGCATTTCGAGCAGCCTTTGAATTGGGACAGCCTTCGGCGCGCCGCTGTGACGTAATCGGCCTTAAAATGCGGCCTTTAAGGCTGCAGACCCTGAATTGGGATACAGCCTACGTGCATCTTGTGTTTCTGTGTTCAGACTGCCTGTAGTGGAGAGCTGCCTTTTTTTTAATCCCTTGTTTTCCCCTGTTTGTGTTATTAGGTAGGTTATTGTTGTACTGTTGGGTTGTATATTTTGATATAATAATGAGCATCAAAAGGGGCCACCAGTGAAGGGGCTATAGCATTGGCAAAGAATCCTGTTAACAGGCAGACGTGTAAGCATATTGATATCAAGTATCATTCTGTAAGGACAACAATCAATGCTAGGTCTTGGAGTATTGTTCCACAGGTTTGATGTTGGCTGATGTTATGACAAAGCCAGCAACAAAAGGGAAGTTACTGAAGTTTGGAAAATATATGTTTAGAGTGTAAACACATAGTAAGTGAAAAACATTGTTTCTTTGAGTGTATGTAAGGCTGATTAATAGGTATGCCCTCATTTGTCATCGGTCAGGATTCTATTTTGTAAAGACACTTCCTGTTGTGGAGTATACGCGAGAGTTTAAAAAGTCAGGTTGAATATTCCAGTAAAACTGATGCCCCAAGTTTGTTTATTCCGCCGTTAACTTAGTAAGTATCTTCAATATTCAGCAGAATCTGCTCTCACATGCTATGTATTCAGTTTTGCTTCCCTGTCTCAAATGTTTGATCCCTCCCTGCTGTATTCCCCATATGGCTCTACTTCCCTTGTTATTTCCTTGTGTATTTAAGCCCTGTTTCTCCCTGCCTATTTTTGTGTTGTCCCACACTGCTGTGTGTTTCTCCGTGCCCCTGGTTTCCATTCTTATTTCTTGGCGACTCCTGGTTTCTAAGTTCATAGGTTCCTTTTTTTTAAAGTTTTGTTTCCTTGTATTGAATTTTGCGCAGCCATTAAAGCTGCCTTCTTCAGCACCCTACGTGACAATTGTTGCTGAATTTGTTACATTCTATGTATTCATGTTATTTTAA